TGCTTAAGAGCTTTGAGGTGCTGTTCACACAGACTATAAAACTGGTGTTGCACAGCTAGCAGGAAGAGTTGTGTGCGTATTAACTGTGAGGTATAGCTTTTTCTCAGAGAAAGTCTACCAATACACACATCCACTAATAACAGAATAAGATCTTGGGTGGAGAAAGGTAGGTTCCTCATAAATGTTTGTCCCAGCCTTGTCTTCCATGAAACACGTATGACTTAAATTGCAAAAGTTCGTTATTTTTCAAACGAGTACTTTGGGGGGGATCCTTTAAGGGACAAGTTTTTAAAATTTTCTTACTGTTACAAGAACTAAGGGAGAAAAAAAAAACCCCCACCAAAAAACCACTATGTCAGTCCCATGATTATTCAAGAATTGATTCTTCCCAGACAGATAACTCAGACTAAAATCACAGGTGCTGACAAGTGAGGTGCTGGTTTGTGGAGCAAACCCTCTATCTGCTGTAATCAAATTTGTACATGCAAATTGAAGCATGCAGTGGTGCTATTCCTCTTCACGGGACAGACCTTCTGAGCAGAAAGAACTTCTAAAGCCCAAGTTAAATTCTTCCTAATGAGTCTTCAGTATGTCATATCAATCTTTACTTTTGTACTTTTTGGTTTTTACTTCCTAGATTAGCAAAGAACATCAGTTGATATATAGCTGTCTAATACAAATACCTTTTACTATTGGTTATAACAGGTCTGTGCAGAAAGCTCAGGACAATACTGTACACCACAGGTGGAAAACTAAAAGCAAAAGCTCAAAACAATGTTAAAAAACACCAGTATTACGTTGCATCTGTGGTATACAGGATGGTATTATGTTGCTCCTATAACAATTTCAAGAGGCTTTATCTATACACCTTATAATACACAAGAATTTCAACTCCAGTACAATATACACAGGACTAGGAAAAGGTACCTTGGCAGAGAAAATACAGCTTGTTGCATTGCAACCTGCAAATATAAGGACATCATTGGAATCAATTGTATAATAGCTTGGTTTCACAACACCTGGTGAAAAGGCAAGGCTGAACTGAGAGTTGTATGGAATTAAAAAAAAACTAAGCTGCAAACACAGTACTTGGCCAACTGTTTTGTAATGGAGAGAGGCTTCCAGAGGAGCCAGTCAAAGGCATGTTGTCTAAATATGTTGTCAGGAAGCATGTAGAGCTCACTACCTTTGCCCTGGGGTTCCATGCTGGCACTGATAGGGAAATAACAACCCTCATGCCAAAGGACAAAAACTATCCCAAGCAACAATCCCTGCCCTCTTACTGTTGGGTTGGTACAATTCATAAAGTCATTGACTGAGCCTAACCTGCAAGCAAGATCTACATGTTTGTCTAAAGTTGTGTCTGACCCAGGGTCCTGTCACAAACTTTTTCTTCCCTTTAACTTAAATGGTAAAGCTAAAGCCCTGAGAGGATAGAAACCCCAAAGAACTCCTTCTGACATTAAAATATTTAGCTACAGAAACACAGTATCCTCTGCATATCAAATTATGCTGTAGATGATTCTGTCACCTACACATCGCAATGTGGTATTACTATTCTGTGGAGGAGAGTTAATGTCAAGTATATACAACCCCTCTCTTGTTATCCTTTCCTAATTAAGAAGCAGATGGTAATTATGGTTTTATTTCTGATGGAGTACAAATGTTCTATATGTAGTTGGAAAGAAGCACACATATCAAAAACTCAACGAATTACTAAAGCTATAGATCCCCATTTGTTTCTCTCAAGAAGAGTGTAGCTGATCTGCTAAATAATTTATGGGCATGACAGTTTCATGAACCTTTGGCAGCTGCCATTTAGAAAAGACTTTGAAAAGAGAGTCTGCACACACAGTGTGCATTAATTTCATTGAATAATTTACAGTGTATTGAGTGAGGTGAGATGTCCCCACCACTCTATGAACTGAGCAAGTTTCTGAAGCAACACTTCAGCAATGAAAAGGAATATATTTAATTGGAATGAAATATATTCCTTTTGTTAGTCACACCTATTAGGTGTATCTTTCTATTTGCTCTCTTTTTCCTACACCACCTCTTATTGTAATGTTGCTCTACCATGAACAAAAGCAGTTTGATCAAGAGACTAAAGGGATCCCAGAAAATTTTTCAATTTTTCCAATAAAAACCTTGGTCCAGAAAAGTTATTACTTATAACAAATAATCCATTTATATGGCCTAAAGTGTGCCATTGTTTTAGCTGGAAATTCTCAGCATCAGCACATGTACAACACCAAGCAACATAGTGCAGAGATGAGCTCTGGAGAAGCAGGTAGGTTAGCCCATGTGGCATAGGACTATGAAAACATGAGCAGAAATGCTGCTGACTTTAGTGAGAGCTACAAGAGAGGACCAAGAGCTTTTCAGATTAGCACATGGAATAAAGTCCCAGTTTAACAAGGCAATTCAGCACCTATCTATCTGATCCTAAAGCCAAGGGAAACCATTGTGCTCTTGCTTCCATTCTTATCCAGAATAGCTGGCTAAAAGGAATACTTTTTTTACATTATATAATAATCTGGAAATACTGTAAAACAAATTGTATGGCTGTACAGTTGAGCACTCAAAAATTAAAAAAGGATAGAATTAAATGAGCAGTTCCACAATGCTGCTAATAAATGCTGTAATAGGCTCCCTTGACATGCCTAGATGCTTTGAATGATGGCCTGGTGGCTTCCCATTTTACAGCTCCAAATGTTTAGAAGTCACTAACTTAGTAAATGTAGACCAGGACATGATACATTCCTTTCATTCAGAATAATAAGACTGAAGCAGTTGTTACTCCAGACAGATACACACAAGCTCTCTCAATTTCTGAGAATGTGTTTCCATTCATAATTGACTTCTGAAAAGTAGGTAATCCAAGTCAACCATAGTCCCAGCTCGGGGCATTTTAGACCACATTTGAATTACTTCAACTCCTATGATGAACTACTGAACTCAAGATTAGTCGGAGAGCTATGCCGGAGAAAATTATACCAAAATCTGACCAAGGGAACAAAGATCAAATTAAGCTTTATACCAAAGTAGTTGAATATATTATTTGGCAACTTGAATTAATTATTCTAGTTAGAAAAAAGGCTGAAAAGAGTCTCTTCAGGTTAGACACTTTCATGAAGCTAATGATGTCATTAATAATTCACCCCCCCCCAATTATCAATTCAGAGAAATGTATTTTAATTAAGTTCATTAAGCATAATATGAAAATGCAGTTACAATGATTATGCTGTGCTTACTCATTGACACACAACCAATCCAGGACCAGACTGCCGGATATTCCATGCCTCTCCAGGAGGAAATGACTATGAACAGGTAATGTCTGCCTAAGTGTTTAATCAGTAGTACTGCTCTGTAATTTTGGGAGTGTAGCTGCATTGAAAAATATCTCAGTTTAAAATAAATTAAGCATAACAGACATTGCTAAAGAGGATGAAATAAAAGGCTAAGTGAGGTGGCTGAGTGGTAGGATTTGGGCATAAAATCAAAATTTTCATAAGAGTTTGCTATATGTGTTATTATGATGAATTTAAAGCGAATTTGAGTAAAGACAGGTAAATATTTCTAAATTGTCACAATATTGTTACCAGCTTCCTCATTTTGGAGAGACCAATCTAGCGTCTTTTTCTCAGGCTAGAAGTGACTGTTTAGCAAATACACTTCTGTACTGGCCCTGAGTGCTATAGTGAGAGAAAAAGCATACACACTCGAGCTAATTGTCACATTGAATAACAGCCTATTCATGGCTAGAATTATTTGTATCAGTGGAAGCACTGAAGATTTGGGTGCTATTCAGCCTGAGTAAGGATAAGAAACCTTCTAATGAAATATGCAACACATTTATTATGCGATTCACCCTAGAACTTTTTTTAAAGAGTGAGGTGACAGCATTTTTATTCCAAGGGGTTTGAATTAAAACCTCAGATGTGGAATTTAAATGAAAAGCAGAATGCTTGACAGGAAAAAACATGATCATTCCAGTCAGAAGGTTCGATATAAAACAAGATACAATGAAAAGAGAAAACAGGGAGCAATAATAGGTAATGCACTGAGAGTGAAGATAGAGACAGATAGAAATTAGAGTAGAAATGAAAGCCCAGTTGGTGATGTAGTGTTACAGGAGACGATGACAAGTATCATCTCAAAATGTACTCCTACTAATTTTAAAAAACAACACAAAAATCGAGGCAGTAAGCACATGGCTACATTGCTTAAAGTAAAACTAGTTCCTTCTGCATGGTCCAAGTCTTTTTATGCCTTTATTTCCAAATACTGCA